TTTTGTTTTAGCAAGTTTTGGTACTCTAAACTTGATTTTTTTAAAATCATAATATCCTGTAACCTTTATTTCTGAGCTTTGGTGTTGTAATTATTTACATTATTTATATTTTTTCTGACTATTGTCCTCATCTTTATTTTCATGTTCACGACGTTTTAGCCGTTGTACGCTCCGGACTTCTTCTGGTGATTGGATACATGGCCTAGTGGATAAAAACGTTGGTGACTTGACCCAAAGAGTTATGAGTTCAATACCTGGCTACGGCAGTGATGAAAAAAAAACAATCTTGGAGAGTTGATTCCAAGGTAGATAACTGAGACATCCGGAAGAGTCAGAGCATGTGGAACTAGAACAATCTACCCCGGTGAATGAAATAAAGTGTTCAGTTCGAAATTCCAATCACCTGGAGAAGGCCGGAGGTACATTCCAGAAGTTATCAAGGGAGACTTTTATTAATTTCAAAGAAGTTCAAAACTCTAATCTCTTTCAAAGTAGAATCCTCAGATTTCAATGCATTTGTTGTAGCGCTTCAGACACTTCGTAAAGGCCCCATGGAAGTCATCCAAAGTGAAGGTGTCCAGGATCCTCCTCTTACGTTCATATCACGTACCCCATTCAGTAACCTTCTACATTGAGTGGCTCTTGAGCATTGTATTGGTTAAACATAAGTAAAAATAAGATTCGAAGCAAATAGCAAGCTATAATTTAAGTGCTTGTTCATAATTACACGAACTCTCGATGGATAACATCAAATTATGAATATTAGTTTTCTTTAGGAATTCTGTGTGTAAAATGTCTTCTTAAATCGATTGCACCTCTTCTGCAGGCTTATCGAATTAGGCTACAAATAGCGAATTGGGCAACAATTAAAAGCCCAACATTACTAGATTTAGAAATTATTTTTTTTCTCATTAGTAGCCTAAGTTAACCCAATTTATTTGAAAAGTTGCCCCAAACGTTCACAGATAACGAAATTCAAAAGTTCCGGGTTTCAGAATTAGCCTATTCTAGCAGTCATGTAGAGTGATGATTATCTCGTCAGTCAGTCAGTTATGTGCCATGCGTGATACACGCTTAGGCGGTCATGTATTTTTCGATACATGATTGACATCCAAGTCTATAGAACCCGGTCTGTCCTGCTATTTATCCGTTATCTGGGGAGAGAAGAAGAGGATTCATAACTTTCCCAAGGTATTAGCACGTAAGTGAATGTAATGGATTGACTGGAATTCGATTATCTTGTAGATCGTTGTTACTGTATTGAGTACGATTATCATTAGGCGATCAACCATCTCTGATGTTTTGATGTAATTGGAATCTTGTATCAAAATCTAATAATCTTGGTAAATATCCACATTCAAGTGACGTGCACATGCCGTAAAGTTATAAATAGAAAACCACAGCTGCTGTCTTTTTAGTAATGTAAGTACAAAATAATTAGCAAAATAATTGAACAGATTATTATAAATATAGTGAACTAAGGACTAGCAACCACGCATCTTGTGTCTGTGACTGGAAGCAAGTATGTTCATTCTAAATTACTCCTCACTCACATTTTTTAAACATTTCACCTCAAGCAATTTGATACAGCTACCAAGATGAAAGGGGTGGGGATTACTGAAAGTAAAAGAAACTGAGAAATATTCACCGAGTAAAAAGGTCAATAAAATAACAGGATTCAAAGAGATAGAAGATGACGGCTTACGTTCAATGTAAATTTTTAAAGATCGTAGTTGACAGGAAAAAGAGTACTGAACTGTTATGCGATATCTGTCCACCTGTATTGCAGCGATTGCTGGACAATCTCCTCAAAGATGAAGAAGAGACTCGAAGCAATAGAAATGTGGTTCTACAGAAGGATGCTGAGGATACTATGGGCCGAACATATGAGCAATAGCGAGGTTTTGAAGAGAATGGAAACAAAAAGGAAACTTATACTTAACATCAGGAAGAGGTAGTTGAAATTTCTGGGACACGTAATGAGGAAGGAAGGCTTGGAGAATCTGATACTCACCGAGCAGAAAGAGGGAATAGAGAGAACGCATGGCATACTTGAGCAAATGGAAGGCATAACAAACCTATTGAGTGCTACAAGGGACAGGACGATGTGCAGGGCCATGATCGCCTACGCCCTGAAGAAATACGTTACATAAAAGAAGAAGTTGACAGGAAAGCAGGAACAGATTTCCGTAGACGATAAATGCGTGAGTAAATACTATTAGAATCGGACTTACGATTATATCTAGAAATTCCAACATTAAAATGATGAGACCTAGCTACCAATCTAGTACTGCGCTTAAATTCACGAAGTCGAGGTACCAAAGAGGAAAAGTCATTAGAACAATTAACATAAAAATATTTATAGAAAAAGCACAGGGAAGCTACGTTCCGGTGGTGGGAAAGTGATTAAAGTCGAGATGCCAGGTCAGAATCTAGAGCATTGTAGATTCTCCTTTGTCTTTTGTAAAAAATTTCTAGATACATTGTAAAAGCAACAGACTAGATATGACGGTGATATTCAATGGCAGACTTATAAAGCTGCAAGATGGATTCTGGCGAGAAAAAATGTCTAGCACGACACAGTGAACCAACATTTCTAGCAGCAGACCTAGCAATGGATTCAATAAAATCATTCCAATTCATATCATTGGGAAACATTAGATCAATAAACTGCAATGAGTTACTCTTCAATGTAGATGGAAGACAAAAGAGAGTCTCTATGATTAAAAGAGAACGTTATTGAGAAATTACAAAGCCAGGGACTTGTTAACGATTTTCAAAAATTATCTAATGAACAACTATACTGACGACGAGAAATCATTATTATTTCTTATTGACCAGAGAACAGAGAAAATATACTTGGATAAATCAATCTACTTTAAAAGAAATATCTATAGTCTTGGCAATAAAAAGCTCTCTCACTCTTCTTAAAGTACTTTGTGACAAGATTACAACTGCAATTAAATGTCACTCGTTATTAAATAGGGATGATACATGAGAAACTTTTACTTTCAATAAAGAAATTTTAGAAAGTTGTCAGCATCTTAGATGTTTACTGAGATGATGGAACAAATGATTCTTTCAAAGAAATGATGTTATATGTAAATGATGAAAGTTTCACATTTCTAGCTAATTTCCAATTGAATTAAATTTCTATTAATTAAATCATTCCGTACAAGATACTAACCATTGAGCATATTTGCAATGGTTTGATTGATTTTTGTCGATATTTACTTAACAGTGTATTTAATTTAATTACGCTTGGAGACTATGCCACAAATTATCTTGAAATCAATTTGCTAAATTAAGACAAGATTCGCGACAGTGCCTGTTCCCATACTATACAAAATGTTACTGGGAAATTTCATATTGAAAAAAATTACTTCTTTATTTGAAACTTGGTGTTAAAGATTATAACTTTGATCCAAGACGTAACTATTCAAGATATGCATATTCGTTGAATGAAGCGTCATGCCAAACATTTTATCATTTAACAAACCTCGAGACTCGTATCCCCAAAATATGCTTTCCAGTCAACTTTGATCTTCAAAAATTTAAATGCAATGTCAGTCGTCATCTTCTGTTTTCTTAAAGTCTGTTCTTTTATTGTCCACTATGTTTCTTTCACTCCCAGTAACTCTTTGCATTCTAGTGGCTTTTATCGCCTTCCTTGAGGTGAAATGATTAAAAAGAAAAAATATTAGAAATTGAAGACGTTAGAATCAAGAAATTTCAGGAATTTAACTATCTGGGTGAGCTTATAACATACGACGGGACCCAGAAATTAGAAGGTATATATCAGAATAGCGAAAAATGCTTTACAGAAAAATATTAAGACAGGAATATTTTATTAGAAACAAAGAAGAGTTCTTAATTGCTATGTAATATCTGAACAATTTCTTCACATATTTAGTTCTACCAACAAATACTGCGGATACCATAGATGTGAGCTACGAAGAAGTTTGAAAATATCATGGGAACTAAAAGGACACCTATACATAAAATCGAAATTTCTGGAACTCATAATAAGAAAAGAAGGTTTAGAAAATTTAACAATTACAAGATATATTGAAGGAAGGCGGTACAAAGGGAAATAACGATTAACCTACGTAACCAGTTTGTGTGAATGGATGGCAAAGCCGGACAAAAAAATGATGCTAAAGCGTCAAAAGTTGTTTAGAGCTCACAAGGGAGAGGAAGCTGTGAAGAGCCATGATCATCCACGTCCTCAAAATAGACTGCACATAAAAGAATATTTTGCCCTTTGATGTAAATCACTTTTAAAACAGATGACGAAGAATGTGACATAAAGACGCATCGGAATAGCGAAAGAAGTTTTAGTTTACAGAAACTAAGCAAAGTATTAAGTCATAGGAAAATTTCTTTAGAACCAAAGCATAATGGGTTAAAATACTATGGTAATATCTATCCTCCTATATGATAGTGAATGTTGGACAAGTTTCTAAAAGATGAAGAGAAAACCTACGGCAAAAGAAATGTGGTTCTACACAGAAATCTGAAGGCACATCGGAATAGCGAAAGTTGCTTTACAGAAACTTAGTAAAGTAATAAGTCGAAGGAAAATTTCGTTAGAAACAAAGAAAATAGTGTTGAACTGTTATGTAATATCTATCCTCCTATATGACAGTAAATGCAGAACAATGAAGAGAAGACTGGAACCAGTAGAAGTGTGGTTCTACAAGAAGATGCTGAGGATACTATGAAGTGAGCATGCGAGCAAGGAGGAAGTTTTAAAAGGGAAACAGAAAGACATTTATACTTAAAATCTGAAACAGAAAAGAAACAATTAAAATTTCTTGGATACATAATGAGAAAAGAGAAATTGGAAATGTTGATACTAGCAAGGTTTATTGGCAGGAAAGGCAGAGGGAAACGGCAAATAACCTACGTAATTTCGTGTTAATGGAAGGCAGACCAGTGACAAAGGGAAAGATGACCAATCAGACAATGTTTAGAGCTACAATGGACAGGAAGCTATGGTATCCCAAGCGGTCACCTATCTAGGTACTGTCCATGCTCGAAGTTGCTTAACTTCGGTGATCGTACGGAAACCTGTGTTCCAACGCCATGTGGCTGTAAGCCCTTGAAGAAGAAGAAGAAGAAGAAGAAGAAGAAGAAGAAGAAGAAGAAGAAGAAGAAGAAGAAGAAGAAGAAGAAGAAGAAGAAGAAGAAGAAGAAGAAGAAGAAGAAGAAGAAGAAGAAGAAGAAGAAGAAGAAGAAGAAGAAGAAGAAGAAGAAGAAGAAGAAGAAGAAGAAGAAGAAGAAGAAGAAGAAGAAGAAGAAGAAGAAGAAGAAGAAGAAGAAGAAGAAGAAGAAGAAGAAGAAGAAGAAGAAGAAGAAGAAGAAGAAGAAGAAGAAGAAGAAGAAGAAGAAGAAGAAGAAGAAGAAGAAGAAGAAGAAGAAGAAGAAGAAGAAGAAGAAGAAGAAGAAGAAGAAGAAGAAGAAGAAGAAGAAGAAGAAGAAGAAGAAGAAGAAGAAGAAGAAGAAGAAGAAGAAGAAAGAAGAAGAAGAAGAAGAAGAAGAAGAAGAAGAAGAAGAAGAAGAAGAAGAAGAAGAAGAAGAAGAAGAAGAAGAAGAAGAAGAAGAAGAAGAAGAAGAAGAAGAAGAAGAAGAAGAAGAAGAAGAAGAAGAAGAAGAAGAAGAAGAAGAAGAAGAAGAAGAAGAAGAAGAAGAAGAAGAAGAAGAAGAAGAAGAAGAAGAAGAAGAAGAAGAAGAAGAGTTTTTTTGTAAAAGTCGAAATCATTTTCTGATCGATGAATACAAGTACATTTTCTGTGTTTTCTGATCAATAAAAAATAATGATTCCTCGTCATGAGTATAGCCGTTAATTAGCTAATTATTGGATATCACTCACAAGTCTCTTGCTAAAAATGTTCTCAACAATTGTAGTTGAGTAGTAATTTAAGACTAACATATTAGCCTTCGGTCAGAGACACAAACTGCATGGTTGCTAGGCCTTCACATTGGATAGATATCCTTCTGTGAATCTCATTGTATATTATTCTATGTGAGGCTTTAAGTCACTTTAGTTAATATTCTGTTTATATTAACAAGAAATACAGTTTATAACAGCTTCCTTATAGCAATTTACATTGTTTTATTGTTAAAAATAACAGTGACATGCATTAGTTTCACACTTTTTAAAAATGCTCTTATTTGTTTTCTCTTCATGAAGTATTATACTTAAAACAGTCAGTCGCTCAGTTCGTATCGAATAATCAGAAGAAAAAGAAAAGAAGGCAGAATGACTTTGTTGGCTTTATTGTTTATGCATCTGCGCTCAGAAACGAGATATTGGTTGGAAACATTAGATAAAGGATCGATTTTCGTGACGTAAAAGTATTACTGCTATTTTTGATTTCCTTTCTTGTTACAAACTGGTGTCCGTGCAGAGGATTTTGGTCAGGCAAAGAAGACTAATAATAAAAAGGACAATGAACGAGTGACCAAGAAACTGCCCGATGTTAGTTACAAATGTCCCAGAAAGTTATGGCCTTGTAATTAATGTTACGAATAACGAATGAAGTTTACTTGATATGTTTACATTTGAATTTGGATTTAAGATTTGAACTGCAAATTCCTAACTCTGGTTTTATTTTAAATTGTGGGAAAACGATATATAAATTTTGATACATCAAAAACAATTTTAGAATATTTTTATGTATCAAGAACAATTTTAAGGAAAACATCATCTTCAGTCCTATAAAGTCCTAAAAGACGAAACTTGGTACACGAAAGCTGTTTCCACTTTCTCATAGATTTCCCTAAAATTTAAATTTCTACCTCCCCTTATATTCTATTCTTAAGTGAATGTCAATAATATGTTTCATTTAAATTTAAAAAGTCAAGATTAATATTTCCGAAATCTTTTACTTTCGTGCTGTAATGATTGGTTATCTAGTCTTATGAGATCGATTCTCAATAGCTGCATTACAACTACGTCTAGCTGGACGGAGATAGAATTGGGAGAACTTGGATCCATGTTTTTTGTGGGAGTGGTGGTGCCAAAGACATCAGTGCGAATAAAGGCAAACTATCGCGGCAGGAATTTGAACTCTGCATACCGATTTCATTTTTGTTAACCGTTAATTCACTCGCACCTGATAAACTTTGGGTTACTGTATAAGTCGACTTAAAGTGCGACCCCTGATTTTTTTCGTATGAATTTTAACCCCTCCAGGAAAATTTACCTGTGTATAGTGCAAGCGGACATTGAAAATGCATGAATTTTAACCTCTTCAAAAATATTACCTGTGTATAGTCTGACCCACTATTTTTACGTAAAAAAACTGATCATAAAAACCCGCATTACACTCGAGTATACTATTTACATTATTCGGACTATTGTCCTCATCTTTGTCGCCATATTTATTACAACGTTTCGGCTGTTGTACGCTCTGGCCTTATTCAGGTGTTTGGAATGTCGAAATGAACCCTTTATTTCGCTCACTGAGGTAGACTGTTCTAGTTTTCACGTGCCATGTCTAATGGATGTCAGTTATCAGTTATCTCCTGCCTAATTCCATCTCAAAGTTCTCCACCACCTTAACCAGATAACATGGCACAGTGGATAAAGGCGTTAGATCCAGTGACAGGACCCAAAGAGTGTGAGTTCAATACCTGGTTAAGGCGGTGGAGAACTTGGAGAGGGAATTAAGCAGGAGATAACTGATAACTGACATTCATTACACATGGCATGTGGAACTAGAACAGTCTACCCCAGTGAGCGGAATAAAGGGTTCAGTTCGACATTCCAACCAGAAGGCCGGAGCGTACAACGGCCGAAACGTTGTAATAAATATGGCGACAAAGATGAGGACACTAGTCCGAATAATGTAAATAGTGTACATAATACCTCATCTCAGAAATATAGACAGATACATTCGAGTATATTCGACAATTATAAAAAAATGTATTTCAGTTAACCGAAATTGAATCTGTTTTATTAATGCCGATTACGACTTATGTCTGAACAAAATTTGTTCATTTCAGTAATAGTCTTAGGAATTAAAAGGCATAGTAGCAGTAGTAGTAGTAGTAATAAATGTGTGGTAAAGAAACTAATTATTCTTAGCATTTTGATTGTAGCCACAATGTATATGAATAATAAATGTATCTCTTTACAGTCGAAAACGTTATCATTGTCAGTGAAGATGCCATTCTACAATTTCTGCGTTGAAGTGATACTATTATTTACAGTTAAATTTAGTCTCTCAGATTTGTTGTTAGTGTCACAACGTTTCGACCATTGTGTCATCTAGTTTTCTTCAGGTGACTGTCGAACCGGGTAACTATGGAAATTAACAAGTTACGGAAACGTAATTACCATGTGGTACTACATCTTAGAGCAAGGAGAAGAAAGATAGTGATGTAGGAAATGTTTGCCTTTTTACATGCTTTAACAATGCCACCTGACGACGTTTAACGAAACCAAGTGGAATAATCATATTTCTAGTTTCTTTATTCTTCGTATCACTGGAAATTTCTTTTTCTTTTTTTTATTATGCATTATTTTTCAATATATTTTATTTAATTTTCCCACATAACCTTCAGGAAATTTCGAGCTAAGCGTTTTATTTAATTTACTTGTGTATATTGTTCTCGTTCTGCTGTTTATATTTAGGAACATGTTGTCTTTTTCTTTTTCTTTTTTAATTCTATTCAGTTAAGCTATTCTACCCTAACAACAGACAATGATATTTTTGTCTTGGTGCATTAAATGGCTTAGAGCAAAACTCCGTTACACCTTTCTATTATCTTCGTTATCTACAAAAAAAAAAGTTCCTTAAATGCAACAAAAACTTTAAAGAGAAAACAATCATTGTATAGAAATAATCGTGAGTGGTTTCTGCCCACTTTTATCCAAAGTCATTTACAAAGTTGTCCACTTGACAAATGTTCTTAGCTGCAATTCAAAGACAAAAGTTGTATCACGATTGCAAGATTGGTCTACAAGTTTCGAATTGGAATTCATTTGGAAGCTTAGAACGCCCAAATTTCGAATAGACTTGTTTCTCATTAGTAGTCCAAATGCTAGCCTTATAGGCGCAGAAAGTAGATTTAGAGGATCGAGTTCAAATTTGGGCCTTGTCTGCTTTCACGTACGCACATGCCCTTTGATAAGGCATGTATCCATTTATTCTCCTCGACCAATTATAGATTAAATAGTATAGTATTGTCTCATGTGGCAACTCGTCTAGAAGAAGGACTAACTTGAATTCATAACCATGGAGAAGGCAACAGGAAGCCACTTCATTACCTTTCCCAAAAAGTCAAGGCAATTTTCAGAATAAAAAGAATAGAAACCTGTGGTAGAAGCGTGATCGCCTACATCCTGAAAGGACATGACATTAAAAAAAATGCCCAAGTTAGCCGAACTTACTTTAAAATTCGCTTCCACAAACCGCAGGTAGCGAAATTCAAAGTGTACGCGCACTGGTATTTCCAAATCCTGAGTTACACGTGATTTCAAGTGGTTTTAGTTATATGGTGGCAAGATCAAAAATCTTGATTTACATTTGAAATACGAGTTTCTATTATTCACATATAACATTCCAAAATATGTTTTGTAAATGCTCTTTCATGAATCAAAATTACATCAAGTTTATTCTATTCCAAGTATTGACTGTTTAATCTAGCAGTTTTCCTGTTTAAACAGGTTTGTCTTTTATTTTGTATTTTTTTATCAATTATAAAGGAACAGATAGAAACTCAAATCCAATTCGCTATAACAATTGTCAGTTGTTGTCAGTTTTTCCTTTGACGAATATAGTATTTTCATTTTTTTTTTTATTTTGTCTCGATTTTTCTCACAGTAGACACATATTACCGCCATTAATTAAAAAATGATCTTCCTTTGCTTGTATGTTTGATTATATTGCATATTTTCACTTACTTCGGTTACTGAGTGTGGAAGAATTAGGAACAGAAACAGTAATATTTAGCGGAAAGAGTAATCAGGGGAACACTAGATAGTGATTGACATTGTATTTCATTTTTTTTGTCGATGTTTGAGTGCGTATATTTAATGATACGCGAAGACGCGATATGTGAAAATCTTTCGTTGG